TAGTGGTCACAACATGTATTCCAATTTAAGAATATGCAGAAATACATTTCGTGTATGGTTCTTGCAAGGCAAACTCAAGTGAGTCTCAACGAGAGTACTCTCTTCACTATCCTGATCAGCGCGTCCCGAGTACGCAAGTATTCGCCAGACTTCACCAGCGTCAACGGGGAACTGTGCATCGAGAGAAGCCTGAGGGCGGAGCACCTCTTGATGAAAGTTTAAACTGAATTTTTGTATTCATTCTAAGTTATATTCTATTCAAAAGCTGATCAAATATCGAATCCAAAAATATTGCAATCGTGAACTGGTCTAACTCGGACAAGTCTAAGTGTAGAGTGAGTGAGATAAATATCCACATTTGTGAGGTGCTTGTTCCAAATGCTACCTAAAATCAAATTATATTTGTAATAAATTTCAGCAGCAGCACTCTTGCTCTTCTGAATTATTAACTGATATATTTTGTCTTGCAAACGTGAAAGAGAAACTGCTAATCTAGAATGTCTAGCTAGCAGCATAGACTAACCGACGCAAGAGAGTGTTTTTAAATTAATGCTATACTATGTTCACAATATTAGGTGGTTTGAGGGGAAGTTCCCCCACTTTTTTAAATTTAATGTAGGCCTATGTTGCTTAATCAGCTGGTTAGCTATCCTATAGGCCTACCACTCTAAAACAAGCGTAGGTATAAGCAAACTTTTTTTGTCCGAGGATTTTTTATGGGGTATTTGGCCTTGAGAAATCAATTGGAGTTGGTCACAAAGCTGGGAAAAGTCGGGTTTCTATCCTACAGCCCTTGAAAGTGCCCATGTTATCGTCACCTTTTTGTAGCGGCAGTTAACAAAAACAGCTGTTACAGGTTATTTTTACTGTCATAATTTCATTTGACATGTAAACAAAAATAACTGCATTGGTTAATTTGGACTAAACATTTTTTAGAATAGTTGTATTTAGTTAGTTTATTAGGTACTTATTAGTGTTGAAGGTTTTTAAGGTAAATTTTCAAGATTAAAATTGATACCTCGGAAGACTTTCAAAGCAAATATATTTAGCCTACAGAATTTGCAAGGGAGATAAGCTACAATCGATCATCTAGAAACAAATTTTACCACTTTGTTTACAACCGAACCAGATCCAACCAGCTCATACATCTCGCCAAACGTTTCAGAACCTCGGCCAAGTCATGCATCGAAGAATGAAAGTAGTGAAATAGTTAATTTAGATCTTATGGCCGAGCAATATGATGAACAATAGGCTGATCATTTTGAGCAGGAGAGTCGAATAATCGATGCTTGACGTCAGCTCAGTTTGGTAGAACGTCAGCGCAGTGAAGTCTGAAATTTCTCAAACCTATTAAGTCGCCATGTTGGCGGATTAGAGATATTTTATTGAATAAGCATTATGCACCAACATTGCAACTGGACAATATTAAAAAATTTGAAATACTGTGCAATCCTTGGTACACTTAATGCTGCAACTGTAAAGATAAACTTAACGGAATTATCCAAATGCTACTAGGCAATGAGAAGGTTTGCCAAAGTTTTTATTCAATAATCAACTTATTTAATAAACTAGCTGCTCTGTCCGTGCTTCGCTACGGATTGAGAATTAAGTAGAGAATAATTCTAACAACATGTACACATGACACAAAATATCTTGACACTTGACAAATTCCACAACTGAAGTACCTAAGATTTATAAAACAGCTGTGTTAGTCAAGTTTCTTCATAAGAAATGTTGATGGCCTGTGGGGCAAAGCCCGATTACAATTTACTGATGTTGATAATTGATTTTCAATTAAATCCATTTGAATAATACTAAGGTTAACGAGCACCTGGGTTTGCTAATACAGGCAGGCTGATAAAATGTTTTTAGTAAAATATTAATAGCTTAGTATAAAATAGATAAATTTGCCTAGTTTGATCAAAGTATATCCTTAAACAAGCAAACAACGACATTTTACAATTTTTTCTGGAGATACAATAAATATGGTGCGTGAGCAGCCATCTTTACTTGCCGCCATTTTATTGTCTTACACGGCATTTGAAGTGGCTCCCTATTAGTCCAGGAGCAAACTGCACATATCCAGCTTCCGTGGGATTTTTTGTGAAGGGAATGTGTGACTATGTGGAATCTCTTTATTATATGTCAAATAATGGTGTAGTACCGGGTGTTTACCCTCAAATTGCGGGGTTTGGTTTTTATGATGTCTTAAATCCAAGATGGCCGCCATGTGTGACATCTATTCAATAAATTAATAATAACTCTTTCCAGAGTCAAATAATCGAATTTTAATTTATACCATTGAATTCAGCTCAAAAAATCAAACAATTTGGTCTTTTGAATCATTGCTCTATGACCATTGGTTACCGAGATATTGAAGGCGGAAAACACAGAACATTGTCCCCAAGCAAGACCCCACTACCCCCATGTTATCCTTATGGGGAAAAAATAAAATTGTATATCTAGCTTATTACTCAGCATATCTTAATAATAATTGGTATGTGGCTTCATTTAGTAGAGATCTACTTGATTATGGCCTAAAATCCCCCATTTTTACATTTCCGTGGCAGCAAACCTGCATACTCACTTTCGATGGTATTCTTATGGTCAATATTTTTGCATGCTTGTCCATGAACATACTTTGAGAAATGATGATGTGTGGCTCCATTTTAATTATTTATTGAAGCATTTGCAATTCGTTGAGTATACAGGTCTGCTGCTACGGGGGTATTGTAGCAATAAAAAAATCTTACAAATTATAGGTAGGTATAAAATAAAATAAAATAGACTATAGTTCTGGGTCATATGTAATTTCTTGTGATTTTGTATTAAGCAATTGTATGATTGGTGGTGATAGATAGGTAATGACGTATAGAATTGTGTACTACCAGTTGTTTTGTCTGAAAGTGTGGCCTAGCTAGTGTTTTTGGCCCGCCGTCTTGGATCCACCATATTGGATATTAGTACAAATTTTTAAATCTAATGCTGGTGTTGTGACTCATTATTATAAACTAGATGTTTACGCTAATTTCAATTCCGAAAACCGTTTGTAAATATCGTTTTTAGTTTCGAAGATATATCGAAATGAAAAACCCCCCCCCCCCCCATACATACGGACGTTTTGTACTTTGATTATTTTTCAGATTATTTTTCTCACATATCCGGTTCTTATTATCGCTTGCAATTCGTTCTAGTCTTAAAGTAATCAGTAATGTAAGAGCTTTTATTTAAGCCATCGATCAGTAAAATCGGACGAGTTAGAGTTGAGCTATGACAACACGATATTAAATTAAACTTTTTCTAAATCAGTTTTTATTAAAAGATTTATATCTCGGGTTGTTAATACGTCAAAAGGGTCATTCTAGTCTCAAATTACTCAGTAAATGTTTGGTTTAAAATTTTATTAATCACTAAATGAAATCTGACTAATTGAAAATTAATCATGGACCTTTATTTAACATTAATAATAATTTTTATTTTGAAATTTGTCTTTGGTTAAAGCAATTAAAGAAATACAGGGCTGGTCATCAGGGTTACATTTGTTTGGTGTAAGTACAAAGTAAATTATGTGTGATGAGGCATATAAGACTAAGAGGTTCCACGTCTAAAAATTGTAACACTGATGACCTTACGAAACGTCTGTAAGAAATGTATGGGGGAGAGTTTTTATTTGAATATCTCTTCCAAACGAAAAAAGATATCTAAAAACATATTTCAGCATTGAAATCAGCGTGAAAATCTAGTTCATAATGATGTGTCACAACACTAGCATTGCATAAAAAAGCTATTGATATCCAATATGGCGGCCAAAAACACCAGCTTGGCCACACTTTCAGACATGTCATTAGCTATCTATTGCCAACAATCATACAATTGCTTAATTCAAAATCCTACAAAATAACATTTGCCTCACAACTATAGTCTAATTTATTTCATTTTCTAATACCTGTAATTTGTTTATAGCTACAATACCACCCGTAGCAGCAGACCTGTATGCTCAACAAATTGCAAATGCTTCAATAAATAATTAAAATGGGGCCACACATTAACATTTCTCAACACGTATGTTCATAAACAAGCATGCAACAAATTTTCCATAAGAAAACCATGGAAATAAGTATGCAGGTTTGCTGCCACGGAAATGTAAAAATGGGGGATTTTAGGCGATAATCAAGTAGATCTCTACTAAATGAAGCCACATACCAATTATTATTAAGATATGCTGAGTAATAAGCTAGATATACAATTTATTTTTTTCCCATAAGGATAACATGGGGGTAGTGGGGTCTTGCTTGGGGACAATGTTCTGTGTTTTCCGCCTTCAATATCTCGGTAACCAATGGTCATAGAGCAATGATTCAAAACACCAAATTGTTTGATTTTTTGAGCTGAATTCAATGGTATAAATTAAAATTCGATTATTTGACTCTGGAAAGAGTTATTATTAATTTAATGAATAGATGTCACACATGGCGGCCATCTTGGATTTAAGACGTCATAAAATCCAAACCCCTAAATTTGTAAACACCCGGTACTACACCATTATGTGACATATAATAAAGAGATTCCACATAGTCACACATTCCCTTCACAAAAAATCCCACGGAATACAGTTTGCCCCCCCGACTATATTTGAAAAGTTACATTTTGGCATCAGCTATGACCACAGAAAGTGCCATATCCCAATCAAAAAGTGCAGCTTTTTCCCATTTATGGCCATGTACACAGCTTACTATATGTATTGACAGTCGTATGGATAAATGATCAAAAGGTTTTTTGTAGTTTATTTAAATAATCTGTTTTAGTTCATTTTGAAATAGTGTTTATATGAATTGCATATTATTTACAGTTATACTTAGATCTAAGCATTGTAATTGACTGAATAAAAGGTAAATTAACCAGTTATACCTATGCTATAACCAGTTAAGTTATTAAAGTTATATGCTGTTACAAATATTTACTGTCTTTCAGTTTGTAAAATAGGGAAATACAACTAAAGCTCAATTGTTAAAAATAGTTTTATTTGATGAACATAAATAAAATTTTTCTCTATTTTTAGGTTTCTTTTTTATTTTTGATACACCGTGAAATACTTTCATCGGTTCTATTGGTGTCCTGCTGAGGTATTCTTTATGAAATTTCTGTGGTAGAATCTCTTTTATATCATTTGTAACATTGAAAACTGCACACTTATTGTCAATTGGGAAAAAAGTTGACCCGTTTAACATTTCTACCGACGATTCTTTATTTCCATGGGCTTGTCCAACTCTCCTTTTGGTGATAAATGATTTATTTTCTTTCATAGTTAGTGTAAATTTCCCTGGGGATGTTGTGACTATGGTATGTTCAGAGTTTGTGTTGGATTTATATTTTTCAGAGGTTAGTATTGTTTCCGGCACAAGTTTCTCATTATTTCCTAGGTGCTTAGGCATACTTTGTCCTATGCTAGGTTCTCCAGGAGTAGTTATACATTTTCCTGTAGTTTTACTAACCCTCAAAGGGTGTTTTCCATGATAGTAATGATTGCCTTTATGATTAATCGGGTACACTTTTTTATGTCTGAGGTTGACACTTTGGTTATAATGCTCTGATGGTATTTTGTCCGTGGGTTTTGGAATAATACTTAACACTCGTTCAACTATCGGTTTTACAGTTACTTCTACTTCTTTGCATGGCTCTTTGTGATGTAAAGTAATAATGCTTGATTTGGTACTACTTTTGTTTTGAATTATTGAGTTGTTTGTTAGTTTTTTGAAAAAAGCACTTAACTTTGTCTCAGGAGTATTTGTCGTCTGGTGTTCTGAAACAAAAAAAAATGTGTATGCTCTTCTGGAAGGAGTAGTTTTATTGTGATATGCGTAGTAGATGCTTTCCTTAGTGACATTTAAAGGTTTATCAATTTGATGAAGAATGTTGTACCCGTTTCCCTTTCCAGTGACTAAATGTTTTTTTAATTGTGATGGATGTGTGTTTGATTTTTCTTTTCCACAATATGCAACATTTACATTTCCTGACTTTTCTAGTTTATTATTTCTTTCTGTAGGGGTAAAATCTTTTATGTTTTTGGAGTCTGAAGAATTCTCCATACTAGATAAACTAGGTAAAACTTCTTTGCAGTATATTTTAAAACACTCACTGGAATTTCCTGATTCTATTTTTTCAGAAGAGGTTTCTAATCTAAACGATTGGTCAGCCTGAAAACTGATCAGGTTGTCTGAATCTTCAAAAGCAGATGGATTGTATTGTTTTATTACCGGTTTGTTGGTAAAAACATTAATATGAGTTGAGCTAATTTTATAAGGTAGAGGGGATGTTGATTTGTCATTGACAGTGAACAAAGTTTGTTTTGAAACTTCTTTCAACGTTGTAGTATTAAGTAGATTACTTAAATAGCTATGCTTATAATCTGTTTTGTTAACTACTTTACTTAAAGAAACTAAATTGCTTGTGTTATATAATATCCCACTCATGTTTTGCGAATTGTTTATTGATGTGGTTAAGTGTAAGTTATTATTTGTTGGTGAACTCAATGTGAGTTTGCTTGTTAGTGTTGCTGGCAATGTAGATTTTACTCCTTTTGTCCCACTCGAGAAACCTTCCAGAGCAGGATCAGTATAGCTAACTGAAGGACCGTCTTCAACTTTCTTTATTGTGTCAGATTTCAAACCTTTTGACTGTTCAATTATTGCATTAAAAGAGCTTGACCTATTGGTAATTTTACTACTGTACAAGCTACGATTATCTATTGTAGAAAGAGACCCACCTCTAACAAAAGTGTACAAAACCTGTTTACACATGTCCTCTGTTGTACCCTTTTTTGTTGGGGTACTTGCTGTAGTATTGCCAAAGGAAACCTGTGTCACACTAAAATTTACTGTGATATTATTTTTATTCTTGGGATTGGTTGGAGCAATTTGTGGTTTTGTTGTATCTTTTGATGCCCTAGTCATATTAGTAATGCTAGCTGATATGGAATAACTTTGTTTTAGAGTATTATTAGTGACTTGATGATTTTGCGACAGTGTTTGCATTTCGTCTTGAAAGTAGTCATCTGCTAACACCGTCGGTTCAGGTGTTGAAAGCAGAGTTTTTGTTCTTTTTTGTTCACTTTGGAAACATTCATCATTCGGTCTGTATGCGCACAGATCAAATTGTTTTTGAGTTTTCCAACCTTCTTCCTCATCTTCGTTTTCTCTTGACGATCTGAGTGGTCTTTTTTTGGTATGGTTTTTAAACTTATTCTTCCCAATTAGATTCCTTTTCCTCCGCATTTTACAATAAGCGGTGCTGCCTATTGGTTTATTGCCAACACTACTTTGTTGTTTATTTTTATTTTCAGTTGGGTTATGATATCTAATACAGTTTAAATTTTTTTCTGTTTTAACATACCGCTTTATACCCCTGATCTGGGGACTTATTTCAGCGTCTTGGTTATCCAGAAGGACTTGACTGTCAAGATATAAAGGAAACTCAGGATCTTCCTCTCTTGATATAGTTTCTGTTGAAGATTCTAGATAATGATTATTATCTTGATTTATTTCTCTTTCATGAAAATATCCCTTTTTATCATTAAAGTTTGCATTTTTGTCAGATTCACTTGTAATTTGGAAAAACAACAAAATTAATAGGCATATCACGTATACAAACATTTGCAACCATAACACATTTTAAATACAGGTTATGATTTAGGTTGACATCTAATGTACAGGACAGCTGACTATACTTATTTTGAGTACTGCTTGTACTAACTTTTGGATACTGAAGTAGACATCCCAGCTTTATAGGACAGCTGTTGTTCTAGTTTTCTATTCAAAAGAAAAGAGCAATTGAATGAGTCTTTTTAGTTTTTGATATTACAATAAATATAAACATATAAAATATGTTATAGTTTAGTTTTTGATATTACAATGAATATCTATACTTATAAAAGGCAAAGCCCTCACTGACTCACTGACACACTCACTCATCACTAATTCTCCCACTTCCCATTTACCTAGGAGGCTGAAATTTGGTACATTGATTCTTTAGGCATTAAATAGGAAAACTAAGTTGTTTTTATTCTGATCGGACTCTCGGGCTCCGCCCCAGTGGCTCTGGAGTTTCCCATGTTAGCCTTATGATTTTTCATATTTAAAAGGAATTAATGAATCTTAACAGCTGTTTCAATTAAACAAGTTGGTTCTGTTCTATGATGTTCAATTGCATTAAAGTTACAATGATTACCAACAGGGTGCAGCACTATTATTTATTTTAATTTATGACAACAGCTAATTTGCAACCAAAAGGTGAGTGAGCGTAGCGAACGAACTTCAACCTGGAGACGAGTTAGCGTAGCGAACGAGCTAACCTGAAGGCAAGTGAGCGCAGCGAACGAGCTCCAACCTAAAGGTGAGTGAGCGTAGCGAACGAACTTCAACCAGGACATGATTGAGCCATGCGAACGAGATCATCTTGAAAATTAAGAAGTTAAACGGGGCAAAGCCCGCGGGTACAGCTAGTAAACAAATAAAATATGTTATAGTTCACAGTAATTAGCCAATTCAGTTTGGCTTGGTTATAATAAGTTGAAGCAATCGATATAGGCTAAATAATAAATTTGACATCAGCACACTCTTTTTAGCGGCTACAACTGTAACAAAGAAATTGGAATGTTGTTTTTGTATGATTTATGACCAAACAATAAATGGTATTTTAGGGCTTAGGCCTGTACTTTAATAATGTAATACAAAGGCATATTATTTTGCTACAATTTAAAATATGTGATCCAAAAATTCTTAATCATGTTACAACTCAATATTGACATGCTGTAATAAAGTTTCAGTGGTAAATATCTTCAAGTCCTGATTGAGGCTAATTTAAATATTAAGATAAACAGACACCTCAAAATCAGCGCCATTAAATTGGATTTAATTTAACTTTCATAGTCGTTCGTTGTATTTATATACTGTAGTCTTCACATACTGTAGTCTTCACATTGTAAATAACCCAGTTTGAAAGTATTAAACATGATCGATAAAACCAGGGGTCTCCAACCAACCTACGGCCCACGGGCGACATACAAATGGATTTTATCCGGCCAGCGAAGCCCTACTGAGAAATAATTGTTTTTACATTACAGTAAGTGTACACAGATGCTCTTCAAAGTTTCGGCAACGAGAGCGTATATTGCGGTCTCGGCGATACCTTAATCGTCATTACCGATTGCGGCAACACCTGTAAGTTTATTTGTAGTCTCGGCAATACAGTAATCGTCACTCGCAACCCGTAACTATATTTTGTATTCTCTGCGATACCGCAATCGTCACTCGTGGTCCCGGCATATGATAACTTGATTAATTTTTCTCGGATTTTGGTGAAATTTGGTTTAAAGGTGTAAGGCAAGATAAACTTGAATGTGTTCGCAAACCAACATGATCGGACCATGGGAACGGGGATTTACGGGGGGTTTTGTTGGGTGAAAAATGGTTTTTCGAATTTTTGACCCTGAAAACGCAAAATTTCCCAATTTCTCTCTAGACCATTTTAAAGAGCTTACAAAAACAAATAATTTAGTATATCAAATTTTTTTTTGTACAATTATTGGTTACGGAGAAAATTAAAAAAAATTGTATTTTAAAATTCTTATGTTATTCTTATGGGTAAAATGTTGTAGTTTGCTTCTTTATCGATATATATTTTTATCAAACTTGGTAAATTTATTTATTTTATACTAAGTTAATAATATTTTACTATAAAATACACTTTTTACCCTCCCTGTAGCAGCAAGCCTATGTACTCATAAAACCTAATGTTAATTAAATATGTTTTATTGGAAATCAATTCAACCAACTGGAAATTCGCTCAGTCGGCAGGTTTGCTGCGGCGGGGGTATTTATTTTTGTTAGTCCAACGGACAGCCTCATCTAACACTAGGCCACGGCAAGACAAAAGAGGCAATGCCGCAAACCCAGCACACTGAAATTGCTGTGCACTAATACAAAATTAAGCTTATGTGCAATGTTTATGTTTACAAGTTTGTTATTACCATGACAATAGTCATGCTGGTTTGACGTTGCCACACACTAATGCCGCGGCCTTGTATTAGAGGGTATGAAATAAATCAACAAATTAATAAAGCTAATAATTATTTTTCTTTGGATGGTTACAATAAGAATAGTAACTCTGTATTTAATAATAATTAAGTTAATGCACAATCAAATCAATTATATAGGCTATTAATCTCATAAAATGATCCTTAACTAATTGTTAGATCTGATTCGCAACATTAACGACCCAGAACACCCTTTGACCCTTGAAGAGTTGAATGTCGTCGAACAGAATAACATTGAGGTAAATATATAATATAGTGAAAATCTTAAAACTTATTCTAAAGCATTAGACTCCTCTTGTTTAACCACCTTGGCCCAAGCAACCATTGGAAGCAAATTAGAACCTAAGTCAAACATTATTTACTGTACTAATGTATTTCCAAATTATTTCAGGTTGACAACAATAACAATGAAATCAATGTTCAATTCACCCCGACAATCCCACACTGCAGCATGGCTACTCTGATTGGTCTGTCCCTACAAGTCCAGCTGTTAAGAACGTTACCACCGAGGTTTAAAGTACAGGTATGCTGAAATAAGAGGTTGCATATTTAGAGTCTGTCATTGAGTCCATAGATGGATTGATAGTGATTTTATTTGTATCATCATTTATTGCATAACAGTTTACGGTTTGTATCTGCTTGCGCTCCAAAGATTGATACATCGACACTCAAGAGTAGGCCTAACATTCTACTTATAAACATCTGTTGTAAGGCCTACCATACACGTTAAGTTGGGCCTCAAGGTCTGGACTGTACAGTCCTAAGCTGAACTGACATTGTGTGGGGATTTTTTGAGGCGGATACTGGCTGGACAGCTGGATGGGATACTGAACTACTATGTTGACTGAACATGTATCTCAAATCCTGGAGTCCGAGACATATATTCTAGTTGTGAACTTCAGATCTTCCAGTGTTCATCTGCCTGTATCCTAGTATCACAATGTTACCATTCACTTTTTGCAAGTAAATATGGCTTACGCTATAACAGTATCTTGCTTGGCAATAAAAAGTGTAACCATTCTTGTAACTCCAAGTTGGTTTGTCCATTCGTAAATAGTTCTTTGCTGATGTTAGGTTGGTAAATTTACATGAGTATTTTTCCCCTATCTAGTTATGACTTCGCCCCAACATCATTCTTTTGCGGTATTTCTTATTCACTAGAACACACACTATTGTAATAGGAGGGTCAAATATTGTGAAAAGAAAGTGGTTGGTAATGTTGTGTGAGTAGGCTGTTAGTGTTGTAAACAATAAATTGCTGTGCTGACCTACTGAAGGCTGTTGCTTTAAGTAGACCAGTGCACTTGATCAGGGGGTCAGTTGTGTGTGTTGTGACGAGGGCGGTGCACCGGGGGACGCAGTCCTGCTGGGGGAGCTGAAGCCTAAGGCATTTGGTCTTGGGTCCAGGTAAGACACTGTTAAGGGTTTTCGAAATTGGGGTTTAGAGTCTTTTCCAAATTGGGGATCCAGTTTCTAACCTAATGATTTATACAGTTCCAGTCTACTCTCACTAGAACACACACTATTGTAATAGGAGGGTCAAATATTGTGAACAGGAAGTGTTTGGTAGAGTAGACTGGAACTGAATAAATCATTTAGTTAGAAACTGAAACCCCAATTTTTAAATAAAAGACTGTAAACCCCAATTTAGAGAACCCTTAACAGTGTCTTACCTGGAAAGTTTGATATTAATCTTTGTGTTGTTTTGGGTACCTAATTAATAAAGTTGGGTTTTGTAAGCGAGTGCTGAGTTTTATTCCTGAGCTACGTCACCCGAAGTAACAGTGGGTACCTACCGTTACACTATCACTGCCATTGCCTCGAGATATTCAATACTTAAAGGGCCGCAGCTACACATTTTTCTAGGGGGGACAAGTCCCAAATTTACCCTCGCAGCTGTGGTTTTTTTTCTAAGTGCTAATGACATTTTACAGTCAGTCATCTTAACGCGAGGCACACAAACTTTTTTAACTTTTTTAAGGAAATGGTCCAAAGTTTTAATGATACTGTTATATTACGTTATTAAAAATTGTTATATTATTTTGTAATTTTTAAACCTGTAAGTACAGGTAAATTAAACAAATGGTGTAATATTTGGTTATTAAATTGCCGGGAACATATAGCTCTCGATACATAAAGTTCCTCAAATAAGTTTAAAAAATAATTTAATTTTAATTTTTTCTTGATTTTTAGCAGCAAACGACTTAATTGTGTGAGAAATTGGAATTTTTGTCCCCCCTTACATGTTTAATTGAGATTATACTTGCTGAGTTGTTTTAGAGGTGTTCGATATTTTCGTACCAGTGACTTTGTCACCAATCGTAACGATCAGGGGTGCCCAGAGGGAGGTTATATAGCTATTGGACGAGATTTTGTTTATGATTAGATAGTTTTATTTGGTCAAACAAGGTTTTAAATTACTGAAATAACAAGAAACAAATTGTAAACAAAACACGACATCTACAGAAAACCGGACAGAACTAACAATAAAATTGGCTTCAGCTGTTACATAAGGACGGGAAATCTACTAAGGGTAGAAACACACATACAGCGACTGGGAGCGGAGCGGCGCGATTTAGAGCGACAAAATCAAACCTATACAATCAAGTAGTAACGCGCACACAAACCGCTGTTCCGAGCGTAGTGATTAACTTTGGAACAATCTTGTTTGTTTTTCTAGCGTTTTGGAGCGGAGCGGGCAGTGATATTGTGGACATTTTTAGTTCCACTTTCACCACTCGCCAGTAGGCCGCTCTGTACGCCCATTCTACCGCAAATGGTACCTACCCAGAGAGTTTCAGAAACTATCCTGTGACTTTGAAAATTCTAACCAAACGCCAGAACTTTATCAAACTTTTATACGATATAGATACATATATTATAAAATAATTTGTAGCTTTTCAGAATTGCCCAACAAGTTTTTGTTGTCAATTATGTAAACTAACTTTTTCTTAGAAACAGTAAACGCTAGAAAAAAATTAAAGCGTATTTTGAAGGTCATGGTGTTAGTAATAGAAATATTTATAATACAAAGGCGTATTGTCACGAATACCATTGATATAAAATAACAATAAATTAGTTGCGCCCGCTATTAGTGGGGCTCATCACAGCCGTCAGCCGCCATCTTGATGAGGAATAGTGAAAAATACTGGCTTCACGTTGTGGCTAACGTGCTCCATCTAGGTCTTATGTGATCGTTGTATCTTGAAAATGATCGAGCTCCCGTTCGTGTCGCTCTCGCTAGTTGCTGTATGTGTGCAAGGTCAGTCGCACTACAGCTCGCTCTGAATCGCTCCGCTCCCAATCGCCGTATGTGTGTTTGTACCCTAAGGGACTATGTTTTATCTATGGTAAAGTTTAATTTCCGGTTGTTTATTTACAATTTTTGTTTGCAGGTAAAAGTATCCCCTGGCACTCATGCGTCTGAACACGCCATCAACAAACAGCTGGCAGACAAAGAGAGGGTGGCTGCTGCTTTGGAGAACACAAGTCTTATACAGGTCATCAACCAGTGCATAGCTGTAGAAGAATAAACCCAGCTGTAGGTTACGCCTTTAGGCAAGTTAGTTGTAAATAAAATATCACTGTGATCACCTAACTGCCTCAGTAATTTTCCTCCTTCAAGAGAAAATGATACCGTTTATTTAATAATTTGTCTGTTAATTTTACATATTATGTTATGTGAATATGGAGGATTAATAGTAGGTATTTGAAAAACATAAAAAACTAACTCAAGATTGTGAATAAAATTTACCATTTACAATATTTTTAGTACCATTCAATTTACTTTGTGTGGTTTCATCTACAGGTAAAAGAAAATAATCAAAACTTTCTGAAAATCAATAGTTTACTTTATACACTACTGGTTTTTAAAATGTTTTACTCCATTTGAATATTTTAGAATTTCTTGTATCTTGTATCCTTATAGAGAAAAACGTATACTACGGTTTAAAAGGTCAAAAAGTAGTTCATTAGCTTTGTATGCAGGTACTAATTGTTAATTAATTTCATCCGTGTGTTCATGTTTGAATCAAAAGTGAATTTGTGTAAATTTGACATCTCGTAGCATGAAAAGGATGAAGTAAATGGTTTTGTATTAGATTACTTGAGAATACAATTTAGGCAAAACCTGCAGTGAGAATTACCTACTACAAATTGAACTAAGTTATGAAGGGTATGGACCTAATTTTATCTACTTAAAGCAGTTCAGGGGCTAAAACAATCGGTTTTATTTCAAAAGCTTTCATTAGACACTATCACTGTAGTAAATGCGCCGCAAGCCTGCAGATTGGGGAACGCAACACCAATCACACATCGCTGGTGGAGCAAACGACCCACAATGGTTACATATTTCAATAATACTGAAGATTCACTCCACCGTGCATTTGAACCACTGTCCACACTTTATAAAATTTGTATTTTATACAGGACCCTCTACTTCAGGAGCAGACTGTATACGGTGGATCGGATCGAATGAACAGTGGAGCGAACGAACAGGCAAATAATTTGTAAAAATTACCTGTTGGAGTGAACGACTGTGTAGTGGAGGCAATAGACCAAATATGACTGGGTTATCAACAGTAGTTTAGGCACTGCGAATTGTAAAAAAAAACTCTGTAAAATGGCAAAAAATGAATGTCAAGGCACCGAGCATTTCAGCATAAATCAGGTCAGGGCAGTCCTAGGGTTAATGTATATTTTGCAGCTGATGGACGTTTTGGCCAATCCAGACTGCTAATTTAGCAGTCTTGTTTTGTCCTTGGCCGGCCTCCCATATTGTAAATAAAAGTATGTCTCTTTGTGTTTCTTCGTTATGTGTTAAGTATTTTAAAATTTGACCATGGCAAGTGCTAAGTAATTTGTGTTTGACAAGAAGAAATAAGGATTTTAAAATAGGGTTGAAACCCCGAAACTAGTTATGCTCTAGAAACAGTAGGATTGATTGACGACAGGTCAGTAACCTTATTTATATTATTTAATAAATCCTGGAGGCACATTATGGATAAAAGTTTTGGCATATCTGCTGTAAATCTTTTGTTTTAATGTAGGATCAAGGGGAGGGGATAGATTTCTTCCCATTAAATTGCATAAATTTTACAAAAGGAAAATAACATAGTTGGGTGACAACAAGTGAAATGATAACTACAAACCAACGTTAAAGGTTTTTACTTCACATAACTCTAAAAGTATAAACAATAACTGACTGCAGGTATCACATGTTACAACAAAAAGTACAGTCTAAACCAGTCACTCTTTATAACAATATCATTACAACATTCTAACATTATTCACAACTATGTTGCTTTCTTCGCTTGAATAGTAGGCTTGACTTTAGTTGGATCGTACTTGTAGGTTTTCTTGATTGGATCCCGGCCTGCTTTCATAAATGCCATTCTATCCATTCTTTCCCTCTCTTGTAGTTCTGTGGTTATTTTGAAATTGTTCCAGGCTAAAAGAGGAAAAAAACGCTTGAAGAAATTTAACATAATCTTAGAAGAAATACATTTACCGTTCTAAAATTAAAGAAATACAATAAACCTTTAATAATTGTTATTTCCAGTTGTCCAATTTAAATCAAATAATCAATGTATTTTATGAATGGCAACGCTATTCCTTTGTAATTAATGAAATGAAACCCCTTTTCTAGACTATTCATGGATCATGTAAATTTTGCATTTAAACTACAAACCCTAGTAAAATGCAACATTTTTTCATCAACTGTGTTTATTAAAGAGCCCAATTCTTAACTTAGGTACTGCAAATTTCATAGTTTGCTGCCAAATGGTTAGGTAAATAGATTAGATTTGATTTGATTAATGGGGATTTATTGAAGCTTGGACTAATGAACTTAAGAATAGCAAAAATGGGAGAAAATGTAAGTGACAATTTAAAAACATGGATAACAAAAGACATATAGCTCATGACCATGAAAAGCCCCACTATTACTGAGATTACATCATGAAGTGCAATCCAAAATATATAAATGTATCATCTTAAGAGAGTTGGAGATCTATAGTTCGGCCGCTTAGAAAACAGCCTGCGCGCTAATGCTAAACCAATGCTGGAGGAGGTCGCTTTCTAAGCGGCCGAACTATAGATGCGGTACTGCCTTTAAGACTCTCATATGTAGGCCAATAATCATGCCAAGCTGTCAAAAATAGTTTGCCCTTTCTGGCATAAAAATCCTATCACATTAAAATTGTTTACATAAATATCAACTATTGTAATTTAGTTTTGACCTAGTGCTGAGCGTAAAAATAAAACATATAACACTGAAAATGAATCCAATTTAATAGGTACAAATTAAAATTGTATTAATAATGCGGCTAAATTATCTACAAAGTAACTAGATGAATGGATAGATGCTAGTAAGCTATCATGAATAAATAGCTTACTCAGTTGAAAATGCAGTCTTTAACCCTCCGAGTGTCACGTGTTTTGGCCTTAATGTCAGCCTATTTTTTGCTCATTTGCAAGGTTTTATTAAAACTGATCTGAGAAGCTTAAAAACAATGTTAATTATACTGTTCTATATACCATTTTGTTTGGAAAATCTTGGGCTTCAATATTATATATAAAACATAAGGAAGATTTAAAAAAAAAAAATTTTTTTAGGTAAAAAAATGTATAATTTCGAAAATTTTCAAAAAAAAAATAAGTTTGCGCTCAATGAAATTGTATAAATTATAGGCCTATAAATATTTGAAAATAGCCACTTTGTTCTAAATTTTATGAGGATTACAAATCTATAATAATATAAGGAAGTAAATTTGCAAATAAAAAAGTTATGGGCAAAAAACAGATTTCAGTACATAGCGTTTAGCTAAGAATGCATAGCCCAACCATAGCTAGGAATCTGGCTGATAATTTACATCAATATCACTACCTACTTCTTCAGGATCATCAACCAGCACTTCAAAACCACTTAAATCTTCTTATAATGCACCACGTATATCACTACTTTTGATTTTTAACACTAAAACAATGATAAACGTAATAAAACACATCAGTCATCGGTCCGAGGGTAACCTAGCTGTTTACAAATACACGCACGTCAGCTCAGTCAGCTGTCTGCTACAATATTTTCGGAACTAAAATGAATAGTGCTTAGAGACAGACCTCTGCAGAAAGCTTAGAATATTACGGACAGAACGATACCTAACTCAATCCAGTACAGTCCGATTCAGTTAGTCATAGAGCCTTCGCCGTAAACAGTGTTCGCGAGTCGCTGCAGCGACGCACGACACTATACAAAGTGCGTTACGCGTCGCTGCAGCGACGCATGACACTCGGAGGGTTAAATGATTGGTGTTACACCTCTTTTTTGTCCTATGGCGCTAGGCACTAGCCTGGGATAGTTTTTCACATTACTTCAGGCTAGACCTAGGGGTCACGGCATTATCACTTGGATAAAATTGATTGGCGATTTGAACCTGGGACCTCAGGGGCCAAAGTCCCACTCTCTACCACTAGACCAGCTCACTCCCCCAAGTGGGGTTACACATTGAGCTACAAAATAACATAATTAGTGATGTGGGCCGGGTAAATACCCAGTGGGTAGGTAAATATAAATTGGGTATTTACCTGGGTATTTACCCCAGGCCCGGGTAAATACCCAAAAACTGGGTATTTATAATTTGTATTAAAGTTAGAGAAGATTGAGATGTTTTTTTGCAATCATTACCTTGCAAGGATAGCAAAATGATAATAAAATGTGTTAAACAAAATTTCATATGGTCACTACTAGCATTTTACTTCTCGGTATGATCGCCATAAATACCCAGGTCTGAGCATAAAGCATAATCGGCATAAATACCCTGGTCGCATGGTTGCACTGGTCCTGACTACTTATGATTTTTTAATTTCTATGATAGATAGATGAATTTTTTTTATTAAAAGTGAAGAAAAATAATTTGTAAAGTAATAATTATTATTTAGAAAGACAGGAAAATTTAGCCTAGTAGTGGCCTATGTGTAAACAACTTAAGAAAATAATTAAAATTCAATCTGTAGGATGGCAGGATTTAATAATATTTTTGTTCTAGATCTTTTGTTGGTAAACTTATAAAAAAAAAAACTAATTTCATAAACTTGTGATACAAAAAATTTGAATCTATAGCACAATAAATCTTTCAAAATTATATTATAGGCCCTAAGTTAGACCAAAAAACAGGAGATACATTTTTTAATAGGTTTATCCAAATATATTATTGTTCCCAACTAAGCGGTAACACAGAAAAGTTTAATGTAGACTCCCTCTTATCCGGACACCTTTTAACCGAACAATTTTTATCAGCCCATTGGTTTAACCTGACTAGATTGGCAAGAAGTGAGCGGTACTGAAACGACTGTTCTCGTGGGAAAGATTTGAGACCAGTGATCACGTATCTAAATACAATGATCTCCTAAATTAAAGTCGAATATGACAGTACCCGTACACGGTTTCTGTTTTAACAAGTTTTTGGGGACGTCGGTTTAACCAGAAAACCCGTTATCTGGACTAGCCTCGGTCCCGAGGAGTCCGTATAAGAGGGAGTCTACTGTACATTCAGTATTCTGCCATTCTGCCTATATCAATCAGGCCTTGGGGTCTGTCTAGCCCAGCGAGCACAGGTCTAGCCTTCCAAACCATTTACACAATACAAATTTTAACTATCATAATTTAATAACAGTAGAAGTAGATTTAGGTTCACTATTTCTCTGATGAGGTGTTGTCTTGATTTCATAAAAACAAGTGCTAAATCATTAAATAAAAGGTACTAGCAATTCTGCAAAGCTTCAAGTTACTGTAAAAGGTGAAATAGACTATCCTAATTTATCATGTAATGATAACAATAACATCCTAGGGGTAGATAAAAATGAATTTCAATCGATTTCTTAAATACCCAAAATACCCGGGTATTTATTGATTTTGGGTATTTACCCGGGTAAATACCCAGGGTATTTACCCCGAGTTTTAAATACCTGGGTATTTTACATCACTAAACATAATGATAGATTATTAGAGGTCAAATGGATACAGTTAATATTTTATTCCTGTTTTGTAAGTCAGCCTGAATTTAAACTTATTTGCACAGTTTTTAACAGGTAGGCTAAATAATCTGTTTTTGTGTGACAACAATATTATTTTATTAAAAATTCTGCAATAGGAAAATTTGATTAATAGAAAAACCACTTTTTTAATGAATTTTGAACACATACATTCTTTTACGTTTCCAACGAATCCTTTGTCTTTTATGGCCAGATTTGTTGGTGTATGTTTTACCAATTGTTCAATCTTGAAGAATTCTCTCACTCTAGGAATCCTGAGTATTCCAACTTGCACCAATGATAAGAAGTTTGAAGTTGTCCAATATACGAGCATAAGCTGAAATACAAGTTGAAGTTAATAAATGAAATATTCTAAAAGTAACACTGGGTTTATTATATTTTCCTGTCCAGTAAATAGAAAAGATTCTAGCTTAATGACTCCCAACTAACTTATGTATTTTTATTTATGATGGTAGTTCCTTAAAACAACAACATTTTAACAAACAGTTTAATGAGTTTAGGTTTGCTGCAACAGGGAGGGTAGAGAGGTGTTATTTTTTGTAAAATGGTAATAGTTTAGTAAGAAATAAATGCAACTTCCAAATTTGGTTAAAATATGTTCATAAACAAGCAAACTGCAACAGTTTTACTTATTCTCCATAAGAATAACATGGGAATTTTAAATTTAAAACTGTTTGGAATATTTTCTGTGTTAGGCTCATAATAACAATTCTGACTTCAATATACTCAATTATTTGTTTTTAAGCTCTACAAAATAGTTAGGGAAGAAAATGCCAAATTTTTTTTCAAAAATAGGAAAAACTAATTTTTAATCCGTAAAATCCCCCATAAACTCCCGTTCCCATAGTCTGATCATGCTGGCTCGCAAACTTGTTTGAACAAATGTAGGTTTACCTTTATTTCATTAAAATCGGATCATTTTGCTCGAATTATGGTGCTAACCAACACACACATAGGCCTATATAATATATATATGAATTTGAACAAATGGTGTTTTTGGCCTCTAGGGACCTCAAAACAAAAAAGTAAATCGGTCCAGGGTCTTATTCGCTAATAACATGATGTTAACCGGAAAAAAATTGATTAGGCTACATGAATAATATTTAGAAATCCAGAAAATATTGAAGCCTTCTAAAGAAAATATTAAAATTTATGTTCCACTAGTTTCTACTTCAAGGACCTCTTCAATTTTTTTATACTCATATATAAATGATTAACCTGTGACCAAGAAGTGTTTGATAAAATCAAAAATCATCCTATATGCAGATGACACAACTGTAGTTACCAAAACTAAGTCCTATAGTGAATTAGAGCATAAAACCAGTCAAACTTTGTTTGAATTGGCAAGCTGTTTTGAGGTTAATAGATTAAAACCTAATCAAGATAAAAACCAAGTAGGTCTATTACATTTTCGTACTCTACAAACAAAATAAGGTATACAATACTCAAAAATAGTATTTCGGGACAAGTTGCTACCACTTAGTGGCAGTGATTGAATATAGATTTACAGATTTATTTTTACAATTTTCCTCGCTGTAAAACCTTGCTTTGGCCAATTTAGATTGGCTAACTGAGACAAACCTCTACTTTAGCACAGTAAATTGACGGTAATTGACTATTTTGTAAGCAGTATACTTACCCCAGGGAAGCTAATCGTAAATGGGAACACAATCAAAGGTAGTCCCATCATTAAGTATTTGAGCAGATGTGAGTTTTGGCTTGTGGAAGGTGTGCCTTCAGCTCCAATCTAAACAGAAAAGGAAAAATTACACTAAAAAATTGTTTTTACCTTTGTCTACAGCTCAATCAGTTGTAACTTCCGTTACGGCCGTTTCGGCATTAACATGCCATCATCAGACGTCTTCGGCTGAAGCAGCGTCGTCACAGTAGAAACATAATGCTTCAGCCGAAGACTTCTGATGATGGCATGTTAATGCCGAAACGGCCGTAACGGAAGTTTCAACTGATTGAGCTGTAGACAAAGGTAAAAACAATTTTTTATTTATATCACAGCTCAGGGGCTAAAAATATGGATTTGAAAAATTACATTTTGGTTTTATGAAAAGTACCTTACGTTCTGTTATCACAAAATATAACCTTAATTTGTTGTTTGAATGGATACCTATGTTCTCATTTAAAAAAAAAAAAAAAAAAACCATTGTAGAATACAATACGGTTTGGGGGTTCAGTCACGGGTATCTTCCGTGTAAAAAAATCATAACCTATCAGTTTTAATACAAGTCCCACTACCTATTACTCGGCAATTATCAGTTTTTTCTTCTTAACAGGCTTACTACTCAAATCAAAATAAAATGCATTCATTTTTATATAGCCTCCTACAATATATATACATAAATGGTGTTAATATAAAACTATTACTAAACTTAATGACTAACTTTTGGAAAACTATAAAATGCACCATCAATTAAAAAAGATTTTAAAACATTTTTAAAATTGCCAGAGGTTATTTTATTTTTAATTTTTGATTTTGAGTTATATATTTGAATTCCTTATTAAATTCCAAATCGATTGTGCAAGTACCACGCATTATTATTATTTTTTTTTTTTTTGTTAAAGTTATAGGACTTAAAAATTTTCTTATGGAAAAGGGTCATTTTGAGAAAAACTGTTTTGAAAATTTCAAATATGCATAAAAATGGTGTTTTTCGTATTCAAGAAACGATTTTGGTATCAAAAGAAAGCTTATAATGTCCTCTTTGAAAGAAATACAAATTTATTTCTTAAATCACATTAGTTTTAATTTGAATAATTGTTTTATTGAAGCATGTCGTAAAAATTGCTTCAGAAAAGGGACCTCTTGTCGGCCCTATATATAGAGAATAATGTCATAATCACATATAGAGAATAATGTTAAAAATATAAAGGCTGTAAACTCAAAACTGTCATTATCCCTAATTCTGAAAAATAAGTTTTACAAGGAGTGTCATATTTTAGTTTTAACATAGTTCTTAAGGATTTCTTTTTGCAAACATAAAATTCTATTCATGTTAAAATTTGAAGTAGCGCCATAGACTTCAATGCCATACGTTATATGTGAATGAATTACTGAATAATAAACAAAATAAACCGATTTAATTGTTTTCAAATCTCAGAAAGTTGACAGTCGCATTATAGCAAAGATCCCAGAACTTATTTTAGAGCAGACTTTATCAACGTGACCTGTCCAATTAAGAGTACAGTCCAACGGCCCAACGCTAAACCTAATAAGTTAGTATTTTCATAAAGGTTGAAAGGTGGTGCTGTAATACTCACATTGATTTTTAAAAATTCACATATTTTGACCTTTGATAATGAACGAGTGTTAGTTTAAATATAGCTGCCTAGTTTAACAACTTCTTAATTCTCCTGTGACAGGGGAACTCTTTCCATTCAGGTTTAATAAAATAATTGGAGATAGTGGGGATACGCCACTATCTCCAACTTTTTTTTTATTATTTTATTTTTGTCAACCTAGTTAGTATATTTTGTTTATACTAGACTTAATTAGAAGATTTAGGTACAAAAATATTGAATTTATAACTTATTTACTAAATTTATATGAGTTTTTAGTTTTTTTCACCAAAATTTTTAAGAATTCGTTATTGAGAATAACTTTTCAACTACTGATCGGAATGACATATTCTATTTATTTCCTGATTCAGGATGAAATAATGAGTAATTCTGTGTATAATCGTTATGGTAACTAAAAAAACAACATTTTTAGGACACCTTTTATTCAAAATATAAAAAAGCTGAAAATTTTTTTAAAATTTTTGCGTAAACATAAATATTTTTAGTAAATGTAATGCTATAGGGCTTACTATACACACAATCCTTTATTACTATATAAAGAAGATCTGGTGAAAATTTGAATACTATAAGTATAGTACTAACGGAGTTATTCAAACTTTTGTACAATAATAACCTAAAAAACACTGTATTGAGATAATCGCAGGTGATGTAACAGGTGGTTGGCAGGTGAAAAATTCCCATAACTACACTAATGTATTATTTTATATTATATATAAAAATAGCAAAGTACTTATTTTGTTTTAAATAAATGTACCCTACTTTATACCTTCATAATACATAATTATGATACACAATTAAAAGTGTAAATATCAGTAACAAAAAAAAAATAGTCCAAAATTTTGTTAAATTGCTGGTTGCGGCGTTTTATATTTTATTTTTTTTATACTAGAAGGAGTTGTCAGATTGGCAAACAATTTTAGCTAAATGTTCACATTTAAATGGCCTATCTAAAAATGCAACTTTTGGAAAATGTAAAAAAAATTAAAAATATGGCCTACAGATAGTGGCGTATCCCCTTGTTAGCTAGCCTAACAAAAAATTCCCCTTACACCTAAGCTCTTGCTGCCTGTGTTACATTATGAACCTATATTCACTCAAAAATGTACAATACCTTGACGGTACAAAACAATGTGGCACTAGTGATGATCGGCAACATGTAGAACTGGTCTGGCACAGTGAGGTCCGTAAACCACAGAGTTCCTCCAGTTTTCAAACTTTCCACTGGTAAATTAGCCATCTTCCGCATTCCCATGAATACTGAGATAAAAATTGGTGCCTGTAAAACAAATGTCAAAAATGTATTTCACTGCTTATTACTTTGGTTAAATTGCTTTAACGTTGAGGTAAGATTTATTGGTAAATATCAGCAATCACTTTTGTGCGGGATAAAAATAAGTTTCCTAACCCTGAAGAAATGGGTTGTTATTTAGGTCATACTAGACCTGATATCTAAGAACATTGTGTGTATATTTGTCATCGTACCTGTCCAGTACTGGATACATACCAGACAAAAAGGGTAAGTAAAGCTGAAAAAATATCTACAGGTAGTTCCAGCTAAGCTGGCACTTGACCGATCAATAGAAATTCTCTACTAACATATTTCAAAAACATTGTCTGCAGTCATGCAGGTAGCAACAACTGTCCTCGCGGCCCGTGTGAAGGCGCTGGAATGGATGAAAACACAGAATGCTATTTAATTATGTCTAAATTAAATAAATTAATTAAAAGTTAGTATGTTGAACACTTTCACCTTTATAAGATTTCTGCAAAACAGATAATTAAATTTAAGGTCACCCATTTTTAATTACAAACAATATTCTTTAAACCAAAACAACAACTACTAACTGATCTTGTTTAGGCGAAAATAGTCTATTATATGGATTAAGAAATGAAACTGTTCTAAGCTAACCTAGCATAACCAACCATACTTGCTGGACCATTTAAAAATTCCGTTTGGGTTTGATAATAGAAAAGGCAAGTTAAACACGGAATTTTTAAATGTTATAGCAAGTTTGGTTAGTTATGTTAGATTATTTTTTTTTTAGAACAGATTCGTTTCATTATTGTATGTTGATACTGAACAATGTTTATCGCGTAGTTGTCAGCTAATATGTTTCAATTTGTTAATATCGATATATCGAGAAAAAATCATCGGTAATAATGAATGTTCCCTTTAACAGGAAAGTACCGAACTCGGTTATAAAATAAATAGGACTAGTCAAATACATTTTTAAAGCATTTCATAACTCACTTGAACCAGTGGTGGCAGCATATTTTTAAATGGGTTCACATTTTTTTCTTGCATGAATTTCATTAATTCGCCTGTGTATCTAGCGGCTGGAAAAAAGGTTTTTGTTACTTATCTTTAAAAGCATCATGTTTTGTTATGAAAAGTTGATCAAACACTAATACATTACACAAACATAACCATATCATTTAAATACAAACACTTAACTTTTTAAATCTCTGTATTTAAAGAATTAGAATTTTAATAACACACAAATTGTGTTTTAGACAATGCAGGGTGCATAGTTAATTTACATTGTACAATTCAATACTATTTCCAGCCTTTCAAAACTAGCTTTTTCAACAATTAGTGACATGTCAATACCAAAATTTATGTATTCTCGATACCGATACATGAAAAATCTCTTCTCAACTCTCGATACTAATAACATTTGTTTCCTAGTTTCACCAAGATTGTTTAATGGAATTGGATATAATATACTGACGCCTGTCTTTATATCACAGTATCTCAAGTATCTATATAATTAATACGCTACATGAAACTTTGTCGGTTGAACTCCTCTGCCATTTCTTAGCCGATTTTATCCATTGACGTCTCATTGGAAAGAGCGTGTCGCATAGATTTGCAAACTGGCCTTACATTTTTGAAAAAAGTCTCTTTGTCACAGTGGCTTTGAAATTTCCTATGTTATCCTTATGAAGAACATAATTGTTTACATTTTGATCAGCTGTATAATTTAATCTATATATTAATTTGAAACTGTTTTTCTTTGTCACAGCTATTTTGAGAGAACGGCTGGGCGTAGAAACTCGGTAGGGGTGTCTAAAGAAAGGTCTTGGTCTGTATATGAGCCATCAAAAGAGAAACATGGTGATTTCCCATGGGGCTCTGCCCCAGCGGCCTTTGAATTCCCATTCCATGTTATTCTTATGGAGGAAAAAGGGGTTTTTGTCACAGCTAATTTGAGAGAACTGCTGGGCATAAAAACTTGGTAGGGGTCTCTAAAGAAAGGTCTTGGTCTATAGATGAGCCATCAAAAGAGGAACGAGATAAATTCCTTTGGGGCTCTGCCCCAGAAGCCTTTAAAGTTGTCTCTTCAGATTTGTTTACATTACGACCATGTGCATAATTGAGCGGAGCGAGCGAAGCTCTTATACGTCGACTCTTATGCATTTCGTAATACGCAAACTCCTCCTAGACGGATGAATCAATCGTTTTCAAATTTTGCATGGTGATAGAGACCATATCGGTGAGTGCCAACATCTATATGGCGTTAAAAAAGTCTCTCAGGAATCCGCCCCACTGGGTCTCAAAGTTTCAATGTAATCCTTATGGAAGCAGTATTTGACACATAAACAAAAACATATGATCAGCTGTTGACTTTTGAATGCAGTAGAAAAGAAATAGCTGATAGCATTAATCCACAGATATTAGAACAGAAACGGTATGGATCATAATATAATCAAATGACGACACTAGCTTGAGGTCCGTGACGTAGGAAGTGGTGAAGGAAGTAGTAAAGGAGAGCAGTCTGGAGTGTGGAAACTGTTTATGACGATTAGATTTAGGTATCTGCATTCCTAAAATTTTATAGGAAGGGAGGAAAACTGGTCCGCGACGTAGGAAGTGGTAAAGGAAGTAGTCAAGGCGAGCTGTCCAGAGTGTGGGGACTGTTTATAACGATTAGATAAAGGTAATATCTAGTATGTTTTATCCATGGTAATATTAAAGGCATTCCTAAAATTCTATTGGAAGGGAGGAAAAGGGGTCCGCGACGTAGGAATTGGTGAAGGAAATAGTCAAGGCGAGCTGTAGGGAGTGTGGACTGTTTATGACGATTATATTAAGGTATCTGCAATCCTAAAATGCTATTAGAAGGGAAGGAAACAGGTTCGCGACGTAGGAAGTGGTGAAGGAAGTAGTAAAGGCGAGCTGTTCGGGATATGGAATCTGTTTATGACCCTTAGATAAAGGTATTTGCAATCCTAAAATGCTATGGGAAGGGTGGAAAACAGGTCCGCGACGTAGGAAGTGATGAATGAAGTAGTCAAGGCGAGCTGTCCGGAGTGTGAAAACTGTTTATGACGATTAGATTAAGGTACCTGCAATCCTAAAATGCTATGGGAAGGGTGGAAACAGGTCCGCGACGTAGGAAGTGATGAATGAAGTAGTCAAGGCGAGCTGTCCGGAGTGTGTAAACTGTTTAAGGCGATTAGATTAAGGTATTTGCAATCCTAAAATGCTATGGGAAGGGTGGAAAACAGGTCCGCGCCATAGGAAGTGATGAATAAAGTAGTCAAGGCGAGCTGTCCGGAGTGTGGAAACTGTTTATGACGATTAGATTAAGGTATCTACAAACTTAAAATGCTATGAGAAGGTAGAAAACAGGTCCGTGACGTAGGAAGTGGTGAAGGAAGTAGTAAAGGCGAGTTGTCTGGAGTGTTGGATCTGTTTATGACCAATAGCTTAAGGTATCTACAAACCTAAAATGCTATGGGAAGGGAGGAAAACAGGTCCACGACGTATGAAGTGGTGAAGGAAGTAGTCAAGGCGAGCTGTCCGGAGTGTGGAAACTGTTTATGACGATTAGATAAAGGTAATATTAAAGGCATTCCTAAAATTCTATGGAAATGGAGGAAAAGGGGTCCGAGACGTAGGAATTGGTGAAGGAAGTAGTAAGACGAGCTGTTCGGGGTATGGAATCTGTTTATAACCATTAGATTAAGGTATTTTTAAACCTAAAATGCTATGGGAAGGGAGGAAAAGGGGTCTGCGACGAGGAAGTGGTGAAGGAAGTAGTCAAGGCAAGCTGTCCGGAGTGTGGAAACTGTTTATGACCATTAGATTAAGGTATCTGCAATCCTAAAATGCTATGGAAAGGGAGGGAAACAGGTCCGTGACGTAGGAGGTGGTAAAGGAAGCAGTAAATGTGAGCTGTCCGGAGTGAGGGAACTGTTTATGCCGATTAGATTAAGGTATATGCAATCCTAAAATGCTATGGAAAGGGAGGGAATCAGGTCGGTGACGTAGGAAGTTGCGAAGGAAGTAGTAAAGGAAATGTTGTTCAGAGTGTGGGATATGTTTTTAACCAATAGATTAAGGTATTTGCAATCCAATAATGCTAAGGGTAGGGAGGGAAACAGGTCCGAGACGTAGTAAGTGGTGAAGGAAGTAGTCAAGGCGAGCTATTCGGAGTGTGGGAACTGTTTATGACGATTAGATTAAGGTATCTACAATCTTAAAATTCTATGGGAATAGAAAGAAACAGGCCCGCGACGTAAGAAGAGGTGAAGGAAGTAGTAAGGTGAGCAGTGTGGAGTGTGGGAACTGGGAACCCTTTGTAGCAGTTAGATTAACTTATCTGCAATGCTGAAATGCTATGAGAAGGGATGGAAGCATGCCCACGACATAGAAAATGGTGAAAGAAGTAGTAAAGGATAGCGGTGTGAAGTGTGGGCAATGTTTGTGGCAATTATATTAACGTATCTAAAATACTAAAATGATATGGAAAGTGATGAAAACAGGTCCACGATGTAGGAAGTAGCTTAGGAAGTAGTAAAGTATGAGCATAATGTGAGAACCGTCTGTGGCAGTTAGATTAATGTATCTTCAATCCTAAAATGCTAAGAGAAGAGAAGGAAACAGGCCCTACGACGTAGGAAGTGGTGAAGGAAGTTTTAAAGGCTGGCAGTGGAGAGTGGGGGAACCGTTTGAGCAGTTAGATAAATGTATCTAATACCATTATATAGTCAATATACCAATATATAGTCAATTCTAATACTTAAATGCTACGAGAAGGGAAGGAAACAGGTCTATGGCGTAGGAAATGGTGAAGGAAGTAGTAAGGCTTGCAGTGCAGAGTATGGGAACTGCCTTTGGCAATTACATTAATGTATCTGCAATCCTAAAATGCTATGGGAAGAGAGGGAAACAGGTCCACGACGTAGGGGGTGATGAAGGAAGTAGTAAAGGTGAGCAGTGTTAAGTGTGGGAATGGATTAATGTATGTATCTGCAATGCTAAAATGCTATGGGAAGAGACTGTAGACTGTAGGTTAAAATGATTACACAAATCGATACATATTTCGATACATGCAATCGTTTACAATAGAAATTTACAACTGAGTTGTCAACAACTGATGTTTACTCCACAGAGGCTAAAACGATCTTTACTCCCTGAAGAGTAAAAATGCTACTTTAGACCCCCAACGCATGCATTAAAAACGACTGTTTTTACTGCAGTATGACAAAAACAATATAGTATGAACCCCTGATGACTCCGCTCAATTTTGTGGATGCCTCTGCAAACGCCACCTAGTTATATACTACTTTTTAATGCAACAGATGTTAATATTTAACTTGTGATTTATTGAATTTGTCAAAATGAAGTAGAGTATTTGCAATGGGTTTTTCTGATTTTAAAATGTATTTTCTTCTGCATCGTGTCATGTTTTGCAATATAATGTTCTATTACCAAATCAGTGGAAAATCCTAATATCACAGTAACTCTTAAAATTATTTCTTTTGGAGTTAACTTATATCTATTGTATGGGTTGGTTTCTGCCTTTTTTACCACTTTTTGGAGATTGTACGTAGGTGATATTCGTTGGCATATTGCATCTGTAGATGAAACTTGTGTTGGTGTAATTATTAGAATGGAAAAGAGCGAGAAATCCTGGACAATTTGATATAGGCTAAAAATAAAACTGAATTAACACTGTTCTACATTTCTTGAGCAATCATTGAAATAACCGATTTGCAAACAATGGAAACATAGAAAAAGTCATAGAAAACAACAAAGTAGAAGAAATAGAAATAATGTTTTTTTTTTCATTTATAATCGTTATGTGTTGGTGTAATTATTAGAATGGAAAAGAGCGAGAAATCCTGGACAATTTGATATAGGCTAAAAATAAAACTGAATTAACACTGTTCTACATTTCTTGAGCAATCATTGAAATAACCGATTTGCAAACAATGGAAACATAGAAAAAGTCATAGAAAACAACAAAGTAGAAGAAATAGAAATAATGTTTTTTTTCATTTATAATCGTTATCATAGACAACCTAATGCGGCTATGAGAGGGAAAATTTTGTAGAAAACACTAAAAAAACAAGGTCAGCTTTTTTAAAAAAGATCAGATATTTACAAAAGATTTTGATTATATCTAACTGTTGTGTAGATTGTGAGTATTTCCATAATCTTTGAGTCGCCTGTAATGCTTCGCAATTGCTCGAATTCGAGCAACAGGTACACTAGTTACTGCTATTTATTTTTAAATTCAACAAAACGCATTGGGTACATTTACTGATTTTGTTGGAATTAAATATTTATTACTTTAATTTACAATATAAAAAATCAAGAAAGCCTGGACACCTCCTATATAATGAAGAACACCTACAATATAAAGATTCCCACAAACAATGAACAAGAATGTTAGCCGAAATGTTACTATTTTGTAGGAAACACGGACTTAACTTTATGATGATTGGCAAAGTAAAACACTCTAAGGCTAAATTAAACTGGTGCAACAAGGACATTAAATATATGTTTTAATAAAAGTCAAGTGATTTGAGAATAATATGCCTACATCCAAGAAACCTTAATAAAACTTTCATTGAAGGATTTGCATTATTCACATTTAAGGGAAACAAAAAAACCATCTTAAGAACATTAGGCCTTTCAATTCTTCATTTTTTCAGGTAAATATAACTATTAAGTATACACGTATATAATTGAGTATACGTAACTAGCCAAATTATTGCCAATTGAAGCAAATAAAATAATTGTGATAGAGAGGTTAAGCAGAAAATCAAGCAGTTCTTAAGTAATGTAAACAAAATGTTATCGTTATAAAAAAATGACTGAAGTTTGTAAACGTACTGGCGACAACGGGTAGTACTAAGCAGACTACATTATCATTGACGAAGCTCAACATGGACAACCTAATGCGGCTATAAGTGGGAAATATTTGTAGAATACACTAAAAAACTAGATCAGCTTTTGAAAAATGATAAAATATTTACAAGAAATGGTGATTATGTGGAACTGTTAGGTACGTAATCTATGAGTTGAGTCTTTTAAACTCATCAGAAATTATGACTTTTATTAGTTTTTAAATAAGTTTTTTGTTTTTAAATAACTACTTTACTTCTTTGCAATTGCTCGATTTTGAGCAACATGTACACTAGTTGAGATAATGGGGTGTTTTTCACGTAAAGAACAAATTATTGCAGCAATGAAAAATTCTAACTAGCCAATTAGGGTTTTTACCCTTTTTAACACATAAAATAGCTACCCATTCAACCGTAAATGATGATCTAATAACAAAATATCAAAGAGACAATTTTATTATAATTAGAGATTTGCCAGAATCATATTTTCAGCCATACCAAACTAAAGGTAGTATTGTGATCTCCTGCAGCTGTGGAGACATCATAGTCGACTTTTGGGATCACTGCAAAATCCTGAATATCTTGCTCAATCACGGAAACATTTTGCGATTGTCTCCCGATTGGTCACGGTAACGTTATGAATGACTCCCGCAATCGTGGCAAAATCACCAATAAATAACTCCTACACTCAGATGGACATTATCGTCGTCTTCTGCAATGGCGGAAAAATTCTTATAATCTCCCGCAGTCATGTAGGTATCATCTTCGTCTCCCCCGAACACGGTATAATCATGAACATCTCTCACAGTTATGTGAACATTTTCATGGTCTAAGGCAATTGCAAAAAAATTATGGTTATCTCTTACAGTCGTGTCAAATCATGAATATCTCCCATGGTCATGTGGACATTATCATCGTCTCCAGCTATTGCCACAAATTTCTGATCATATCCCGCGACCGTGTACAAATGGTCATTATCGTCTTCGCGGTCAGGTTAATGTTATCATCGTGCGGCCGTGTACACGTTATCATTGTCTTCGCGGTCTTGTAGATGTTATCATTATCTTACACGATCACAACATTCTGGTTATCTCTCGGGGTAGGTAGGCATCATCATTAACTCCCGTGGTCACAAAAATGTCATCGTCGTCTTACATGATCGCGGCCAACTCATTCACATTCTTCGATCGTGGGCAAAATTCTGTTTATTTCCCAAGGCCGTTTAGACATCATCATCAACTCCCGCGGTCACGGAAACATCATCATCTAGCGCGATTGCGGCAAAATCAAAAACATTTTCTGCAGCCGTTTACACATCATCATTGTCTTGTGCGATCAATGCAAAATTATGAGTATTTTATTAGATTGTACATGGTCCATAAAACTCCCGACTGTGCCAACAAAATTAAGACTAAATTCCGCCTTTTTAAGATCATTTCAAACTTTCACTACTAATTCCCGATTTTCCTGACTACTAGACACCCTGACAATGACTAAAACTCGCCGTACTAACACATAGTGATTGCACTTGATAATTTAAAGTGTTCTCATCTAGTTTTAGTAAATATTAAACAAATAGTCAAATGTTTTGAAATGACACAGGTTTTTCAACATACAAAGACTATCCTTATTTTCTATGCTGTGTAACTACTGGAGTCAATATATATTGTTGTTTATCAGGAATGGTAAAATAAATTATACTCACTTTCCAACTTGTCTCCCCGCTGCCTTGCTTCTGTAACTTTTGCTTGAATGTGTGTCATTTGAGGCATATTATTATTCAATATTGCAATATTTCTTTGGGACGCAATGACTATGGGAAACAGCATTAACCTGATTAGTATAGTACCTGAAAAATCATATTTACTTTAGACAGGCGCTCAAGGTAAATTTGGTAAGTATAGAAGTAAAGAAAGATTATTAGTTTGATTTTCTGAAAAATCAGAAGCTTATTGATTAAAACTGCACCTACCACCTACCTGTCCTTAATCATTGAGCCAAAAGATAAAAATGTTAATACAAGAATATTTTACCTTGTATATTCTTAATCTTTGAGTCATTATGTAAGTCAGATTTGGTTTTAACTTTAGTTTTTAATAGTTTTGACAAAAACTAAACTAAACCGTGGTTATAATAGTGCTTGTTTTCAAAACTGAGTCGTTGATTTGTCCAAGCGTCCAGATGCAATTTTTCATTGGGCTATCAATTAATGGTGCTATCATAATATAAACTCAATGTTATATAGTAACAAGACCAGGGTTTGGACCATTTCCTTACAAACAAATTCCAATAAAATTCCAATACATGAAACTAAACACCAATTGAGATAAGGAATAAATTATACCTTTAAATAACTTTGTAGCATCAGATAATACCTTTTGCAGCAAAATTTAAAACTTAGCGTGATTCCTGTTGATTTATTGATTATTTATTTGAACAGGTCCATATTAATCTGGGTTATTAAGAGTATTATTGTAACATGATAATGGCCCTTACAATCTCTGAAAGCATACAAACCACATTACCAGCAACGACGGCTTGCCACCAAGGTAGTCCTAAGTCTACATGAAAATACTCTAAACAAGTCTGGACCATCCCAGGAGGGGTCCATCCGCCAAGCCCAAGCTCCGAAAATGGAGTCTCATGTCCATAGCCCTGCAAAAATGCAGACAATAGTTATTTAGAAAACCACAACATATTACAACAGTGTTCCTAATGACTTGTTGCAAAAGCCAGAAAAATAGGTTTGCAGCAAATTAAGAAAATAGTTGTTGGATGGAAATGTACTTAGTCGTCAGTAAGCTAAACCCTTATCCCAACTGATGTCTTCCTTGTTTCTGATCCAATTCTACCTAAGTACTGTACAGCAGTTTCGAGTTTCTAACTTTTACATGTAGGCTACCTATACTTTTCAATGGCAACTGTAGCGTATATAATACCTAATCTTAATAAAACTTTTAACAAAAGTAAAAATTTTGGACAAGTATCCACAATAAGTAATATGTTTTTAATCATTTTAAAACTAAATAATTATAAACTTTAACGATAATATAATAAGTAGGCCTAATTTAAAACAGTTAAACAAGATTTAAAAAGATTAGTTTAGATTTTAAAACTCTAAAACTAAGTTAGTTACCTACATATTATTTATATTTCAGTTGGTAATTCATTAAAAAATATTGGATTAAAAAACTCTTTAACTCGTTTTGAAATTTGTTTGTGGTCATAGGGGGTCATTTATACGTAATTGTATCCACGGTCATTTTTTATTTTGAACTCATGTAAGAAATAGTATTTAGTACTCAAACATCATAATCAATCCACAGGTAATGAATCTACCTTAACTATTTATATCCTAGCAGATGGATTTCTGACCAAAAAGTGGAATCAAGCTTCACCTGTTTACATCCGAGTTATAACTTACACCCATTAGCCTAGTTGGGTTTAACAATAGTTGAAAACTTCTTTTATTTAAAAATAAACACAATGATAAATAAGTATTTTATGAAGAAGTTTGTATTGTTACCTCAAGCATAGAAACTGGACTGTTCACAGCTGGCGGATCTGGAAGAGAGTCTAATGCACTGACATAACCAGACTCCGAAGAAAGTTCTCCTTGCAGCTTGTGTACAAAGTGAAAGACAACTCAATAAACATTATTAAGAAAACAGAAACAAAATGAGAAGGACAAATTTTGCAAATTGATTTCCAAAATCCAATGAAATATTAAATACCTTTGGAGAACTGGCTGCTTCAAACGCAACATTTCCGACGTCTAATGTTCCATGATCCGATGTTGAAGAAGCCGGATCACACCAGATCTAATAAAATGAAGAATTTGTATAAACTGGTCACCAGTACACAAAACACCTAAGACTGTGTAAAACCGAGCCACAACTCACAACACCGAGAGAAAGTTAAGCTACCTCCATCGCAGTCTTGTAGATATCTGGTCCTGTTTCAGAAGATTCAACTGTTGTTACAGAGGAAGATTTGGAAGGACGAGCCACTGCTAGATCTTCCTCCGCTGGGAAACTTGAAAACACCTGAACAGTAGGAAAATTACAGATCACAGTGACCTGATTATGTGTCACTCTCAGAACTAGAGAACCTCTAAAACCTGAGGAACTACAGATATGATTGTGAATTTATTTCCAGCAGGCAAAAACAATTAATTTGTATAACGAAACTTGGTCGTTCAACAAGGAATGGCCTAACTTATCAAACATCACATGTAGGAAAAGTGATGTAAATGTAATCAAATTTTGTAAACTCAATACATTTCATTGATCATAACTATCATCAATCATCATTGAATCATAATTACTCAGAGTTAAATTATCAGAAGGCAACACTACTCGGATTGTAACATATTTGATAATGATTACCGCACTTAATTACCGCTATGGGCTAAGTTGGGAAAATTTGGAAAAGTTTAGAATCTAACATAGTATAAACATAAACCACTCACATTTAAGTCTATTAAAGGAAGGTACGACTGTAATCTGCATAGAACTGTCTGTGTTTAAAGGTGATTTGTTTTGAAACACAGAATAGTTAACAGCTCAATAACTAAACATTTCTCAAACATTTTTATTGAAAACGAATAAGAATAAAAACAACTAACTTATCACCACCGTGCATGTGAAGTACCTGTAATCTAAAAAAGGAAGGGTCTCAACAAAATATAAAACAATACAGCTAACAAGACTACCAAAAAGAGCAAGACATGCAGTTTGAAAAAGAACTTGAACAAAAAAGAAACAATTGAAAGGAGCTGAAAATGAAAGTGAAGTCAACGGAAATTGCTAACATTGAAGAATCAAAATTCATCCTCCATACCTCCATAGCGACCCTGTAGACTTCTGGAAGTGTATTTGAGACAGAATCATAGCTATTCTCTATTGATGAGGAGTCAGTTGTAAATCTGCTAGACTGAGAGGTTAACAGCTCCAATTAGTCTCAAAGAACAGCACATTAACACATTATAACCCTTTCAAATAATAATTCAGCCAAGCAAGATAAGTCTAATTTCAACTTCTAATCAAAAAAAGTTTACAAAAGCCATTTGTTTACTTATTAGTTAATAAGATTATTACGTTTGGTAACTCAACCCATTATTTTTGGTTAGACCAACACTCTCTTTTGAAGTTTTGTAATTGTATTCCCAAGGGGGTCCATGAAGGCTAACAACTATCTTCGATTTTCCGGCCATAAGAACAATATTAATTTTGTTAATTTCAAACAGCTGCTGAAGAGTTATTAACCATCTCAAAATATTTTTCAAATAGGTACACCTACCAAAGTGGGTAGGAATTTAAATATCTAATGAACTGTGAGATTATAAAATTTTCTTCCAACTTTAGTAATTGTTTTATGAGTTATAAGGTCTAGGCTCCAAAGACTCTTAATCCCAAAAGTGTTAGATTGTACTGTCTCAAGATGTTTTTTATTAAAAATGTAATAGGTTACAATAGGAGGGTAAAATCGGTCCATGGTTTTGTTAGAAGTTAGTAGTTTAGGCCAACCGTATGGTTAGTTTAAACAATACACTACGTAACTTAAATATAACTAACTTATGCACCTGAACAGAACTCGTTATGTCTGAAGGGGCTGACGATGTGACAGCAGTGGGAGGTTCTGGAATCGGGTCCAATTCTGCTAACCTCTCATTTGATTTTTCTGTCACCTTTGAGCTGGTTGTGCTTTCATGTCTCGCTTGCAAAATAGAACCAAAGGAACTTGATACGTAACCATTTAAAAGTCTAACTTCATTTGTTCTTGAAGGGAGTTTTAAGTTTCGAAGACAGCAAACATGTAGATGGGCTGCACTGTCAACCTGAAAAAGAAAATGCACAAGAATATATTATTAAAATGATATGTGTTGTGACGTAATTTTCCTGGCGGACGACAAGTGGGAAATTACGCCACCGGTAATAAAACGAGGATCCCAGGATTCGCCCTAGTCTGGTCGCGGGGAGTTTCCCAGGAGTCGATAGTGATTCGGATAGCCTAAGTTTGATAGCCCTGGTTGTCAGAGCTCGAGACGAACGTTGCGGGTTACTAAACACCCAACTAGAACTCACCACTCTAGCCTAGGGCTTGTGGGGAAAATAATAATTTTGACTTGACTCTGTGGGCAAATATCTAAATGATACACTACTAGCTAACTTAACGAATCAATAAGTAAGCTAAGTAGTCACTCCGCTTACCTACGGAGTTAAATCTTCAACCTGTAACAAACAAGGTTAGTACAAGATAGGCCTAACCTAGCCTAACTCCCACAGAGTCCGAATTTACTAAATTATAAGAAAACAAGTTAGCCTAAGTGGTCCAGGTGAGGAACGAACAAAAAAAACGAAACTAAAAAGGTGAAACTGCTCCTTGAGCCAAAAAAACGAAAAACTAAAACTTAAACTTCCTCACGTGTTCAACTTAGACCAACTTCGACAGAACTTGTCCAGCAGAAACCTGTCTGCTGGGACAAACTTCGGGACGCTAAAGGAACTTTGAAACAGATTTAAGAATTAAAAAGTAAGTCCCAAATACGGATTATGAAACGTTAATCGAAATGATCTGTCACCAACTCCGATACTTTAATTAAATGAGTTGGTTAAAGCGTATGACGAGGTCTGCGAATCAGGCCTAGCCTATGAACTTCGACAAAGTTCTGCCGAAACACAAGTGACGGAGAAGTATTCGAAAGAAAAACCTAAGTTGTCCAAGTGTTACGCAACTTACCAAACGAAGTAATAATACTGTGGAACACTTTTTGCGCACTCGATGCACCACGAACTTAAAGTAGGCTAACTTTTAAGCGACGAACCGAAAACAAAAACTCTTCAAATTGAAGACGAACGAACTCGCGAAATGCCGGGAATACGAATGACAACTCTCCTCCACAACTCTTCTTCTTCCCTCACCTTCGTCTCAGAATCGAGACGAAAGTTAAAACGCTTCCTGATTGGTCAGCACAAACAGAGTCAGCTGAGTCCCGTGTCAGCAAAGGCAGGCGTATGACAGCTTTAACATGCTTTATAGCTGCCTCGCTCACAAAGTGGATCAGCTGCTCTTATTCTCTCCCGTAGCCCGCCCTCAGACGCAGTCGAACAACCAAACAACCAAACTGACACCAACGTCGTCTGCTGTCTTGGAATTGGAGGTTAGGTGCGATGTCAGTTTAGCGTCGCGACTAGGGCACAACAACAGCTTACATTCAGCTGTTTAAGTTTCGTGGTTTAGCCGTTATTTTACCCCCTACACATTTGACCCGTTACACCCCCTCCACACTTCGGAACGAAAAAAAAGAAAAACGAGAAAAAGAAAAAAAGCTGTTGAGCTTTCCTGCAGGTGACACATCATCAGTAGGATCGTGGGCAAGAAAAGTTGACAGAAGCTGATGCCGGACCCCGTTAGTCCGGCGGCTCCAGGGTGTTGACGACGAAAAGCGAACGAAGCCGGGTTGCCTCAGAGGTCTAAACAAAAACGAATCGGGGCGAAAAGTAACCAAAGGTGAAGAGTAGGCGTGGGGTTTACGAGGGTAGGGTAGTACGGCAGGCTCGGAGTCTCGGACGCGCGGTTAAGAGCTGCTCACGATGATACGTCACCCCCCGGACGAGGGTTATCTATGGCTGCTTGTCGGCAGCTTGACGTGGCCGAAAGGACTGATGAACAAACGGATCGCAATACGTTGCTGCGGTTGCGGGATCCTTGCATATTAGTCACGTGCACAGAAAGGTTTTAAGTCTTTCACGTGCACGACGTGTACCGCAGCAGAATCCTCGTCTCGTACCTCGTAGAGATTAGCACCTCGACGACCGACCACAATGCAGGGGCCATGATATTTTGGTGCTAATTTCCCTACGATGGCGTCCGCAGCGGAAGACAGGATGTGAAGTCTTCTCATCACCTGCGCGCCAACTTCGTGAGTCACCTCCCTACGACGGAGGTTATAATATGTCGATTGCCTCTCGTAGGCAGCCTTGAGGTTCTTGTGTGTCTGCACGATCAGACGCTGAAACTCATCCAGTCGTTTGCGATGGGTCTCACTTAACGAGGGACCTTGGGGAGTTTCAGACACCTCAAGCGAAAGGCCACGGACGGCACAGGGAGGCTTCAGTTCACGTCCGAAACACAGCATCGCGGGAGTGAATCCAGTAGAGTCGTGGACAGCTGTGTTAAGGGCGTACTGAAACTCCACTAGGTGGTTGTCCCAAGACCTATGGTTGCCTTTCACGAACTGCGCAATCATAGTCTTCACCACCCGGTTCTGCCTCTCGACTGGGTTCGACTGCGGGCTGTAGGGGGCCGTTGTCTGTAGCGTGATGCCCCACTCAGCAGCCAGTTCTCGAACCAGTTTACCGACGAACTGAGTGCCGTTGTCCGTAATCAACACATCCGGAGCTCCATGTCGAAGTAGGATAGCCTTCAGCTTTGTCACCACATTCTTTGCGGTTGCAGACGCAATGGAGGCGAGTTCCGTCCATTTGCTGAAGGTATCCTGCACCACGAGCAGAAATCGCTGACCCCGTTGTGATCTAGGCAATGGGCCTACCAGGTCAGCAGACACTGCGTACCACGGTCCTTGGGGTTGTCGGAAGTACATTTTCCCAGCTGGTTTCGTTTGGGGTACTTTATAGGCCTGGCATTGGGCGCAAGACCGTACATAGGCCTTCACCTCACGACGCCAGTTAGGCCAAAAGTACTCCCCACCAACTCGGGCTAACGTTTTCTTCACCCCAAGATGTCCTGCCGTAGCCGTGTCGTGGTTTTCGTGCAGCACCACGGATACTTGGTCGCTTGGCACACACACCCTCCATGTTGTAGGTCGATCCTTCCTCGAGACTGCACGGTACAGCTTACCGTCGCGAAGCTGGTATCTCGAGTATCGCCCAGGGTGTTCACTGACCAGATTGCAAAGGCGGTCATACCAAGCACTGTGGCTGCCCGGCGGGTTACCATCGTTGTCCACGTAGGAAGATGGGTCGTCAGTCTCCTGCTGCGTCGGACCAGGAGCTTCGTGATCGATAACGTCACCCGCCGGATCATCACCGAGTGAAGGTTCGTCACCTTCCACATCGGTTAGGCGTCGTAACCGCAACTGTTCCCTTGCAGCGCGTCTGGTTAAAACTCCGACCTCAAACGTAGGTTGATCGGGTTCACCAGACGGGTTGGGCACTTCAGGGACCGGCTGACGAGACAGGGCGTCTGCCACTCTGTTCGATGTCCCCTTGCGGTACCTTATCTCGAAGTCGAATTGCTGTAACTCCATTACCCACCGAGCCAGGCGCCCACTAGGCTCACTGAGCTTAAGCAGCCATTTTAGGGCGACATGGTCGGTTATTGCAATGAAGTGGTAGCCTTCGAGATAAGCCTTGAATTTCCGAACAGCCCACACGAGAGCGAGACACTCCTTCTCGGTAGTCGTGTAGTTCTGTTCGGCCTCAGAGAGTAGCCTGCTGGCATACGCAACAACCACTTCTCGGTCGTTTACACTCTGAGTTAGCGCTGCTCCCAGGCCATAATTCGAGGCGTCGACCTGGAGCACGAAGGGTTGGCTGAAGTCGGGACAGGCGAGAATCGGGGCCGTCACCAAGGCGTGCTTCAGAGCTTCGAATGCCTTAGTTTGTTCGGGCCCCCAGAGCCACTTGGCGTTCTTCTTCAGCAAACCTCGAAGTGGTATGGTTACCGAAGCGAACTTCTCGACGAATCGCCGATACCACGACGCAAGGCCTAGGAAACTGCGAAGTCCCTTGACGTTCGTGGGTGCGGGGAAATCCTGAATGGCGCGGACCTTCTCAGGATCCGTGGCGATACCATCCTGGCTCACGATGTGTCCCAGATACTTCAGCTCCCTACGGGCGAAATGACACTTCTCGGGGTTTAAACGAAGGCCCGCCTCGCGTAGGCGGCGAAAAACAACCCCCAGAAGTTCTAGATGCTCCTCGAAAGACGTCGACACTACCACAAGGTCATCAAGGTAAGCGAAGACCTTCGGCTCCAGCTCAGGCCCGATGACTCTATCCAGAAGGCGCTGGAAGGTGGCACCGGCCGAGTGTAGGCCAAACGGCCTGACCTTGAACTGAAAAAGGCCTAGGCCGGGCACAGTGAAGGCGGTCACGGGGCGACTGTCGACGGCCAATGGCACTTGCCAGTAGCCTTGCTTCAGGTCCAAGGTACTAATAAACTTGGCCTGCCGGAGCTTCTCAAGGATGGCGTTAATCCTAGGCAGAGGATAGGCGTCCTTGATCGAGGAGTCGTTCACCCTGCGCATGTCAATGCAAAAGCGGTATTTCCCAGTCGACTTCCGGATCAACACGATCGGAGAGCTCCATGGACTCTCGGATGGTTCGATTACATCATCCTTCAGCATGGCAGCTACTTCATCGTTGATGACCGCTTGCATTGCAGGGTTACGAGGGTAGTGGCGCTGTTTGATCGGGACAGCGTTTGGTTTGAGCCGGATGACATGCTCAGTCAACGCCGTGGGTCCCACAACAGCATCGAAGAGAGGAAGTTCTTTCTCGAGAAAATTCTGGAGATGTCGTTCTTCCGTTGACGTCAGCGGTTCCAGTGTGCCCGTCGCACAAGGAAGAGTCGTGGTCGTGTCGAAAGTGCCATCGTGGTTGACGTTTATTCGTATGAGGTTAAGGTTTCGAATACACCTCATACCCAATACGACGTCCGTGGTGAGCCCAGGCACAAAATAGGCTCCGAGTATGAGGTTTTCACCTAAGATCTGGGCCGGGATGTGGTACTTCGTCTCAATCCGACAACGTGTACCATCAGCCATCCTCAGGTCCGCCGAAGATATCTCAGGTTTTACCCCACACTCGTCGA